TTACATACCCAAAAATGATGATATTCAATGAAATATCAAATCAATGTGATCCGTATTTGCAGGGAATGGTGTGAAAACCAAGCCTAATTAGCATTATCCAATCAAAAGTAATCAAACGGTTTGTGATATGCAAATCTAGGCGTTACGTCATCCAAGGGTGAATCAAGCGCTTTGCGCAAACTGAATATTTGAGTGAATTTCTGCAACATAGCGTTTGATTTCAGTGTGTAGGGACTCAAAGCGGTTTGTTATGGCTTCGAAGTATCATTTGGAAGAATCTGTAAAGTGGCGAATTATCGGCCGTTTAGAAGCAGGGCAGTCAATCATGGAAACAGCCACATGTCTGAATATTTCAAGACAGACAGTCTCTAAGCTATGGAAACAGTTTCAAAATGATGGAAGTGTTGTAAGGAGGCCTGGACAAGGTCGGAAACGAATGACAACTGCTTCTGAAGATCGGTATCTGGCATTAACTGCCCGTCGTAACAGAAAGGCTACTGCTCGCCAGTTAAGTTCAGAGCTTGCAGCCGCCACTGGAACTGTTGCATCACACGGCAAACAATATACAGAAGGCTTAATGAAAAAGGCCTTTATGCCAGAAAGCCAAGGGTATGTGTTTTACTGTCTTCACAGAAAAAGAGGGATCGCTTTAATTGGTGTAAAGAACATCAAAACTGGACTGAACATCAATGGTCCCATGTTCTCTTTACTGATGAGTCGCGGTTTAGTTTAACTGGTGATTCTAAACGTGTTTACATCTGGAGGGAGTCAGGAACACGAAATGATCCCTCGAACATTGTGGAACGTGACCGTTTCGGTAGTGGAGGTGTGATGGTATGGGGTGGAATAATGATCGATGGACGTACGCCCCTACACGTGTTCAGCAGCGGATCTGTGACAGGCCAGATATATCGAGATGAGGTCTTAGATCCTTATGTAAGACTTTTCAGGGGTGCATATGGACCTGACTTTTTATTTATGGATGATAATGCCCGTCCACATCGAGCAAACCTCGTTGATGAATTCCTTGAAAGTGAAGACATTAAGCGAATACCTTGGCCACCAAACTCTCCTGACCTTAACCCGATAGAGAACTTATGGGACTACCTTGGAAGAGCAATTGCACGTATACATCCTCCTCCTAGAGATGTAAATGCTCTGAAGACGGCATTGCTGGAAGAGTGGAGATTAATTCCCCAAACTGTGGTTAACAACGTTATTTCCAGCCTTAAAACACATTGTGATATGTGTGTACAAGTCAGGGGAGATCATATTCCATATTAAATTCGTAAGACTTAATTCTTTTTCTGAATCATTCCTTTTTTTCTTAACTCTCTTTGTCACACTTTATTACCATTTTTATTGTTTCATGCTACAATTTTATATCATATGAGGTGATCTTCAATTTTTCTTTTTGCATTTATGTGTCATCATGTTATGTATGATTCCACGAAAATTCATTAAATTATAAGTCATAGTCTCTGAGAAATCCGTGAATTTATGTGTAAACATAATTTTGGACATGAGTGTATATGAATAAGACATGACTTGCAGGAGATTTATTGAGCACAAAAATCTTGTTTTAACAGCATTATAAAATCTTTAAATTCATAGATATTTTATCTTAGCATTCATTTTTGCAACAGTACTGTTTTAATTGCACCATAAAAATCTGAGTTTAGGGACATTTTCTCTTAGCATTCATCTTCCAACAGTAGTCAACTTAAAATAAATTACCGAGATAATGAATATAATTTTCATCTCGTCCTCAAATTTCAGTAATTAGAGGTAAATAGAAATGATAACGAGATAGTATTAAATTTTGATCATTTGAATATGACAGTGAAAAAAACCAATTAAAAAAATAAATCCATGTGACAGTAATTAATCTAAGATGAATTTAAAAATGAAGAGTTCCACAGAGAGTTATACGATGCTTCATAGCAATGTGCTTGTTGCTTTTAGTTGAGTTTAGTAACCAGCAAATAAATTTTAAAGATCCTGCATTAAAGAGTTCAGAAATGCTAAATCTCAATATGTGCAAATGTTTTTGCATTATAATGTTGCTTTAAATTTCTAAATGCTGTTACTTAAATAATTATGCAAAGCTGTTGAAAATGGCAACTATTGAGAACTGGAAAAGCAAAGGAAAAAAAGGTCAGAAATTTGGACTACTTTTTGAAAGGCAAGATGTTAAAGAAAACAAAAGAAATCGACTACAGACTGCCTTCATGAATGAACTGCTTTTGCTAAAGAGAAAATTAAAACATTCATTAGCTACAGATTTCACTCCCTTTAAAAAATTAATTTAACATAATTTGCTGAAAGAATAAATACTTTGAGAGTTTTTTTATATAAAAATAGTAATTGCTTTTTTTATATAAGTGTAATGTTACTTTATTTTAAATTCTAATGCCGAACCTAAAATTGTACGGTACATATTAAGGGCTAAAGTTACAATTGGGAGAAGATTGTGATTAAGTGCTAGAGTTAGGTATAATGTTTACCTGCAGCTATTACAGTCTTGTTCATATATAATTATAGAAATATAAGTTTTGACACTTTTTTTTTTCATGTTAGTTGATCATTTAATTTTGCTTTTTTCCATTAAGTTCATCTAAGATAATAAAACAATAAAAGCATAAAATGCATTAAGTAAAAAAAAATGAAAGCAAGGAATATTTTTTTTTTTTTTTTAAATTCCACTACATATTCTCCCCTCCCCATACGTTGGTATGAAATACTTTTTCTGGGAAGTCCCCCTGTGTTTTAAGTATTAAGTATTTTGATAAACATCTTTGAATATTTGTTCCTTAGCCATGATGTTTGATCAGATGAAAGATAAACAATAAGCTGAAGTGATTATCTTGATAGTATTTCCCCCTTTTGAAATGCCAGCAGACTGCAGGTTGCGAAGATGATTTCTAAAAAGTACTGTATAAGCATTTAAAACATTCACATTCTTTCATCCAACTTCAAAGCTGTTTAAAAAAAGGGGGGCAAGAATTGATCCCCTTGTTTCAGAATTAAATGTAATTAGGTATATTGCTTTTCTCAGACCTTACTTACACATACTACTATCAAATATTTTTATTGTATTAAGTAGTGTTTTAAAAAGGCAGGCATTTCATATACTAGATTATCAAAACTTTAAGATTGGCCTACATATTTATTAGCTTTTAACTGCTTGGCATTCTTCTTTGCCTGTGTCTTTCCAGTCTTTTATTTTACAGTCTTTTTTTTTTTTTTTTTTTTTTTTTTTTGTCAAAATATGCAAAAACATATTTTAATTTTGGATAATGTTATCTTTAATAATTTTGGTATTGTTTCATTTTCATTAAATTTTACTACAAATAAATTATGTATAAATATTTTGGTGCATTTCTGTAGCAAATTTACTTTAAACTTCATTTGATGTACTTGTGTTAAACTATTCAACTTTTCCTGCTTATTTGCTAATGAATGCAGTGTTTAATTCCAGTATACTATATGAATTTTAGGGTGAAATTAAAAGTGTAAGGTCTATTTTTGTTTCATTGTCTTAATTTGTACAAAATTTTAGCTATATATTTTTATTTATTTTAAGTGCGTATGGTAATGGTTGTGGTTTTTGTGTTTAATGCTGTTAACTAATCTTCATAATTTCTGGCTAATTTCTTATTCTGTAGAGTGTAAATAATGATGTAATATAATTTTCAATATTCTTCTTAGGTATGTGTTTAAGCGTTTGAAGTTTCTTGGTAATCGATATATTTCACAAGGTGCAGCTCTTTTGTTCTTGGCAGTTTGGCATGGTTTACATTCTGGTTACTATGTTTGTTTCTTCAGTGAATTCATTGTTATGTATCTTGAGAAAGATGTAAGTGAAATATACTTTTGTTTTAAACTCAGTGTTTTAAATTGAAGATTTTTAAAATGCATTTATCAGTATAATTCTATATTGTAATATAAACTTTAGTACTGTGTGATTATATGTGTCTCTTTCCCAAAAAGTTTTCATCTGTTAGGAACCAATTTTTTGGCAAGCTAAGCTGCAGAAGATAACAGCCATTTTTAGAAATTGCTGTGCACTAAGAATTGCATAAAACAACTATCAATTAACAAAATTAAGACTGCAAGAAACATTCATAATAAAACATTTACCTTTTTTTTTTCCCACTGTTCTTCCCATGTGCACAACAATCAGTTTTAGCTTTAAAAAAATCAGAATATTTCAGAAACTTGGCATTGCATGCATTGTCAATTCTTTCCACATGCATGGCAATCTGTGTTTGCTTTAAAAAATACCAGAGAGTTGGATAAATTTGCATTGGCTTAAAAATTTTGATGCATGAAATTCAATTGTTTATAAAGTCCAGCTTTATGGAATGCCATCTATTATGCATTCTCTACTGTTAGGCAAGGTGCCATATCTCTTAAGAAATGCAGCACTTTCTCTTCATCAGCCAGCAAACTTCACTGTCCCATTGTTATTCATTCAAGAAAGGAAAAAAGAAAAAAATACAATCGGACAAACACTTTTTGGAATTCAAAGGTTAAGGTAAACCTTCAGTGAAAGTTAGCGCTCGTCTCATACATGCACAGCTGTAGTTGGGTTGTCATATAAATACATTTGGGAAATGTCAAAGGTTGCCTGTTGTGGTATTAGTGCATTGCCTTGTGAATACTTTTCAGGGGGTGCAGATAATCAGAAAGTGCCAAAAAGCCTTTAAATGATGATTGAACAATATTTATAATAAAATGAAGTATTTTTCAGTTATATTCTTAATAAGTATTCCATTTTCTGACATCAGCATTGCTTTTAAAGGAGAGTTAAGCATTGCAGAAAAATTATTATTCTCCCTCTACAATATTGGATGAGAAAAAATTTGATGCATTATTTTACAGAACTATTATTGTAACATTAATCTGGTATTTTTGCTACAATACTTGGTTCTTCTGTAAAGATAATACTGATGTCATAAAATGGAATGATTAACAATTTATTTTCAGAATGTAGCATTGTCTTTAAATTTTGTTTCAAGTAGGCTAGAAAAACTAGCTATTTAATTCTTTAAGGTGGAAGGCTGTCAAATAAAGAAAAATTTATAAGCATTTGTCAAAAAAAATGAAATGCTTATAATGAAAATATGCTTATAATAGATTGGGATAGTAAAATGATTTAATATGATTGATTGCCAAACATAGACTGTTGAATCAGTTTGCAGAGTATCAGAATCATATTCATGAAGGTCATTCTTCACTAATCCATCTAGTACCATTTTTTATAGTTTTTTTTGGGTTGACCTGTCGACTATAAGCAAGAACATAAATGTACACTGCACAAAAAAAAGGGGGGACAGTTCTATATCTCCCTTTCTACTGGGCCGATAGACAAAATTCAAATTGTGTTTTTCATGTCTCGAAAGCGTGACTTAGAATATATATTAGATTTATATAAAGCATCATTCTAACATAGGTATTTTGACACAAAATCAGACTTTTTCTGAAATGATGGGCCAATTTTTTTTCCATATTTCGGTTCTACAACTCAAATTATGCCCAAATATTAAATTTTGAAAAATTTGGAGCGAAATTTATGGAGAAATTCGAAAATTTAACTTGCCACATTTTTTTCAGTTTGAGCCAAGAATAATTCACTTGGCGAACTTTTTAAAATATGGCAACCTATTTTCCTTTCCCTTCCATTGTGCAGGAGCAGGAAAAAAGCCACTTCATTCCTACTTTCAAATAATTTTAACAAAGTGTGTAAACCACATTTTCATTATTATCACTTTCAACAAATATGCCAAATTTCAAAATGTGCCAATATATAAATTCACGTATATTTTCAGAAATTTTGAATAAAAAGCTCTAATTTTTTGCAGGTATGCTTAGAAATACATCTACTTTAAGATGATTTTATAGATTATGATTCAAATTTTTTTTCGAAAAATTTATAAGATGATTTAAAAATATAAATTTAAAAAATAAATTATAAAATATGGGTGAATTTTATTTGGAATGAACCTAAATTTTAAACTGTGTAAGAAAGAATTTAAGTTTCATAAAAAAGAAATTTTAATAAATACATACCAAATTGAATTAAGATTGAGGAGCTAAAATTTTGAGAGCTAATTTTTTAAAAACTACTCATGCGCTTTTTTACAAAACTTGGGAGTTTGGCATAATTTGAGTCGTAGAATCGAAATATGGAAAAAAAATTGGCATGTCATTTCAGAAAAAGTACGATTTTTTGTCAAAATACGTTTATTTGAACAATGCTATATATAAATCTAATACATATCCTATGTCACACTTTTGAGATGGGGAAAATGCAATTTGAATTTCATCAATCGATCTAGTAGAACGGGAGATATAGAATTGTCCCCCCTCATTTTTGCGCAGTGTACCTATGCTTGCTGCTGACCTCTCCCTGTTTGTTGAACAAGTATATGCTGATTTCCTGTGAGAAGAATGCTTCACATGTGGGGGCTTTATTAAGAAAAATGTTTTTAACATAATGTATAGGGTTTTTTCAAAGCAATCTGACTTTGAAAGCATATACATAATCATAATGTTCAGAGTCCAAAATGCTTAAAAATTTTCAATTACATAATCTGAAGAGAGAAAAAAGAACCATAGCCAAAAACGCAGAATAATAAATGATGAAATGAATATCCCTTCTCTGCATTCTGAGTTTTTCTATATTTGTCTTGCTATAGGTTATTTCTATTTGCTATCCAAAAATGGCCAATGTACAAGTACATAAACAGTACAAAATTTAAGCTCTGGAATTGTCAGGATTTTAACCCTGCAGTGCTCGCGTGGCATATTGTTACGTTAAAGGTCGCGCGGCGTCTCACAGATGCCAGGTATATTTTTGCTGTACTAATATATATTTAGGTTATTCAACTCAAATTTATGGATGCAAAGGGATTATTGAAATAACATACATATATTTGTGGTATCCTATTACAAACACAAATAACAAAACTTCAGTTTACAGTGAGACTTAATTTTATTCAACTTAACTCAAATACAAATGAAAAATACAAGTGAAATTGTCTCATTTAGTTAGTTGCACAAACTAGCAATCAACACATATTTGCCGAGTGTTTTCTAAACATAAAAATGTTTACAACTGCAGTATTTGTACTTGGTGTACCTGTTCTTGGAGAGACTACATTCATGACATCTCTGCCTTTTAGTAGTTCAAGCCTCTACTGTAAGTTGAACAATATCCTCATCTGGGAAAATGCTCTGAATATCCTCCTTGAGGTTTCTAGGTAATGATAAACTTTGAGAATGTCTACGCAAGGAATCATAAGCTAACCAAAAGTTTTAAAAACTCACTGCGGCTGGTGCTGATTGATAAGTTATTTGCATGATATATTATTTGAGCATTTAAAGCTGCTACATTCATCATGCTATAAAATATGACCATAGGGCATCTGTTCATTTTCCTGGCGATATTGTAAGTGCTACACAACTGGTCAACAGTATCAACTCCTGATTTAGTTGCATTATAAAAGGTTATCATCTGTGGCTTGTTTTTTTCACATGATTCATCAATTACACCATTATGATGCATAGTGGAGAGAATCAGAACCACTGTGTTTTCCTTAGTTATGTATAGTCCCAACCAAAGTAAGATTGTTTTGAAGCAAACAATTGCTATTGTTGAACCTTTAACAATATGAAAGGAACCTAAATCATTTTTCAGACATTATTAGATGGCATAACTTAATACCCATTTTACCAGAGGACCATATGTCCTTGTTATTTCCATGATTGTCCTTTTCTGGAAGCAACAAATGAGTAATATGCCTAGAAGCGCTTTTATTTCAATTATGTCAGTCAAATGGGCAGCCCTTTCCCGAGAATAATTTTCCTGTACTGTGGACATCTTTTCATTTGTGAACTTAACTATATTAGATAGCATGCCACTGTCAAAAAATCATGCCCAGCATTGCTCCAGCTTTCGAGCATTTTTTGCGACACCTTTCACCTCTGGCAAATGAATGATAATATTATGTCGCCGAGTGCGTATATTTTTTATTTTTAGGTGGGCAAACTTTTGATCACTCTGATGATTTATTCCGGCATAGGAAATAATTATCGGCAATATAATCATCCCTATTGCTATCATTGGAGTCTTTCTTGCTCGGTGTCTTTGTTTTTCTTCTCTTGTTTCGACTCTATCTTCTTGTGCATCACTATAATCATCAAACTCATCACCTGATTCATATTCTTCCATCAGCATACGTAGTACTATTTCTCTGTCACGTTCATATGCCATATTCAATTTTTCTGAGAAGTCCTCTAAAGGTAAGAAATAAATAATAAAAACAAATGTTATCCATAAAAATTATAAATACCAAAAGAAATATTTTATATTTAAAATTAAATATACAGTTTCTTTCATTTATCAATAAAATGGGAAAAAAACACTACTAGAGACAGCTGTTGATAATATAAATTAAAAATACTAGAATATATAAATTTTAAAATTTTTACCTTTAGAATCAAAAACTGTCGCGTGGCGTCTCCTAGACTCCAGCAGTGCTCATAGGCTTATAACCTCTTCCTCTCAGCACTAAAATGAAAAAAAGCGTTGTTTCGATGATTTCTACATGTTTGTGTATAGTTGACAGCAGCATAAGTTTGCTCGTGCATCCGTTTATAAAGCAATTGAAAAAGAAGCATCCCTGGCGTCTACTGGATGCCGCGCGAGCAGTGCAGGGTTATCAGTTCCAGATTTTCAGTTTAAATCTAGTAAGATGACATGTAGAGAATATATAAAATTAAAAACTTGAAACAGTTATTTATAAAATAATGAAACATTCACAATCTTAAGAAAATAAATTTAAAAAAAAATTCTTTCATTTAATTCGCCCAAAAGGGTGTCAGTCTGAAAGGGCTATTAGTCTTGAAACAGGATTTTGTGTTGTCCATTATAGACGGCTGTATCACTTTTAAAATTGTTGCCGCCAAATATCGCCCTGTATTGGTCTCAAAGAAATGAAATGATGAAGAATGTGCATCTGTGTATGCATGCTCCTTGCATCATGAAATAACGACAGTACCAAGAGCGATAAAATTTTGAATAATATAGTCCTCACTCGAACATGTGTACTTGGGTGCCTAAATTTCGTATTTTGTAAAACTTTAATGAATTTTTCTGTAACAAATTCAAAGATTTGAAAACGAGCAGTGCTGACACTGTATAGAATAAAACATTTTCATCTCCTGCATGTGAGACTGTGTGTCAGAAATTCTAAAGGTATGCTGTTTTTAATTATTTTGTGATTTTGCTCTTGAATTGAATTTTATGTGGCTTAAGTGCAGAGAACATGATATTTAATAAATAAAATAAAAGCACAAAATGTTAATAAAAAGAAAAAAAAATTATAAAGTTTTAAGTAAGAAAACTAAACATTGATACAACGGACTGAGAAAAGACTGAAAAAAAAAAAAAAAAAAAAAAAAAAAAAAAAAAAATTAGAAAATGTATGCCAACACTTAACACTGCACTAAACATATGCTACTTTTAAAATATTTGTAATTTTGCTGTTGAATTGTGTGTGGCATATGTGCAAAGAAAATGATTTTTACTAGTAAAACTAAATGACAAAATGAAATTGGTTGGTAGGAGTGAGTGTAACAGCAGACTGGTAGAAATATTTTGGGGTTATCCTTAAGATCTGAATCCTTTCTGATTTAATTATTTTTTCTTTAAAGGTTTCTTTTAAAGTGATTTGTTTAAGTTGTTTTGTTAGTAAATGATACCTGTTTCAAAATCCCCAGATGTTAAAGAAAGACACTCTAGTGCTAGGTTCACTTAAGAGCGTTACATCTCATTCATTTTATAACTCAAGGTGCACAAAAATTATATACCATCTGAATAATTATCTAATTGTTGCCACATGTTCTACTAAAATACTATAATAAATTTAATATGATGTATAAAAGAAATTAAAGGAATAGAAAAGAAACAATTTCTTCAGGTGACCTAATGTGCTTGCACTACTCGTAAACATTCTCCTATATCCGAGAAAAAATGGGGGTATAGTATTTCTTATTCAATTAATTCAGTTCTTATTTTGTAGCAAGGCAAAAATGCATAAAAACTCAAAATATTCTCATTAAAAACTTAAAAATATAGAAAAACACCAAATACAGTTAAAAAAATTTTTAAAAAAATCTTTAAAATTACAGTTTCTATGCAAAAACAAGCAATTGGGCCAGCAGGAAAGAAAGCAGATTTTTCGGTGCATAAAATTGTTTCCTTCTGGTTCCACTCGGTAGAAAGACAGTAAAGATGTAGAAAGAATTAATTTGCTATTCTGCAAAGTTTCAAATGTAAACAAATATGGCTGCTGTGGTAAAAAAAAAAAAAAAAAAAAAAAAAAAAGGCTTAGCCTTACTTAAACAATTTTTAAATTGTTGATAATTCCACGAATGCAGATTAACTAAGGCATAAAAACCTCAACTGGGAGATAAAAAAAAAATAATTCAATCATTTTTTAAAGCAAAAAATGTCCAGTTTGCCAATGTATACGAATAAATATATATAAATTCAAAATAAAATAATAAAAATAAATTAAAAACCTATAACTTGTGCTAAATGATACCTGTTCCTGAAAAAACTTTTTTTTTTGCTGCAAAGTAATAAAATAATAATTCATAATAAAACTTTCCATACTTTTGGTGCGGCTGATTGCAATAAAAAAGGGAGGTGCACATCTGCACATTATAGCAGTCATACATACAAAATTTCAATGTTCTGAGGCTACTTGTTTTTGAGTTATATGCAAGATGCACAGATGTCATGAAAAAATGTCTTCTAAATCCATATTAAATCAGTTTTATAATTCGTTAGGGGAAATAGAATCTTTTATTCTGTCTTTTATTCTTATTTACAGATGTCATCTGAAAACATTGTTAAATTGCATTCGGTAGTGGTCAAAATGGGTATTATCTTTGAAATACGATACCTGGAATTTTTTGTGATTACAATGCTTCTTTTACTTCATACAAGGAAGTAAAAAAAAGTAATAAATGAAGGCAAAAAGATTTTTTCTTCATCATTCGAGGGTTGGTTCATTGAGAAAAGTAAAAGAAAAAAGATTTTCTGAACTGACAAATGCCAAAAAATGAGAAATTAATCTTGTTTGTGAATATATATATATATGTTTCTGAAGAGTTTTATTCCATTTTAAATATTCCCTTATGAAGAAAAGTAATCATTAATTCATGATACAGGTGGAGGCAATTTTGAATAATCGTTTGCCTAAAGTTAAAGAATTCTTCACCCAAAGTGCCTTGAGAATTCCTGTCTTGATAATCCTGAAGTTATATGTTGATATATTTATGGGATACTGCCTTGTGTCCTTCGTATTGCTGTCATGGGATCGTTATATGAAGGTTTGTTAATTTTTTATGATTTCAGTTTTTATCTGCAATTTAAATGTATTTAAAATTCAATTTTATGCAGATTTGTTCATCAACATTTTTATTCTAATCTTATATACTAGGATTTAACAAAAAAAATTAATTTAATCCTTCAATTGGCATTGTTTATCATATAATTTATTGTACTTAAAGACAAATAATAGTTTGTAAAGGAGGAATTTTTTTTTACTTTTTTGTATTGGAATATTTTTTAAGAATATAAATTTGAAGGTATTTCATAACTATGTATGTATGTATTTAATTATGGCAAAGCACACGAGGGCTATCTGCCTAAGGGGAGGGATGCCTTTCGTGGAGGACTTTCTAAGGGAAACTGGCTCGTATACACGTTACACATGGGGAAAACCACGAAAACACCCATGCAGCCAGCCCATTCACGGGATTCGAACCTCGGACCGAACTACCAGTGTTCAGCGACTTTACCACTCGGCCGCTGGTGGGCGGTAATTCATAACTAAAAATAAGTAGTTGAGTTTAAATTCATGACTCAAAATAAAAAAAATAAATAGTTGAGTTTATCGTTTGCAAGATTATTTTAACAAACATTTATCAAAAACCTTTTTTTCTTGCTAAATTAAAGTTATTTAATTCTGCACTAGTGAAGGGGATCTACTAATATTTTTAGAAACATTTTTAAAACTGATAAATTGTGATTGTTTAAGTTTAGAGAATTTATAAATCTCAAATTTAGTGCTTCTGCATCTATTAGTTTACATACATAAAATTTGAAAATTGGGGGGGGGGAGTAAAATTATGTTTGAGCATTATAAATCAATACACATGGCAGTTAAAATGAACCAGCTTCACAAAGTGAACTTTCTTCTTGCCAAAATGTTACAACTTTTTCCCTGTCTTTCTGTATGTCCAGTAAGCATGTAATATGGAATATTGTTTCAATTTTGACTAATTTTAAGTGTGCAGATTTTATTTTGAAATCTGAATTCTTATGATAGTAACTATTTTATTTAATAAGTTTTTGTTTAATAGCTGTACATTATCATAATTAATCATCTTTGATCACAACACTTGCAGTATATACAGTACTTTTGGAACATCTAAAAAACCTTGGGGAAGTACTTTAAAAAGGGAAATTGAAGTATTTGTTAGCATGTGAGTTTGACCTCAAAGCAGTTTTTAAGTAAAGCACAAGATGCTAGTTCGGCAAATATGTATTTTCTAGCATTTTCATAGGTAAAGAGATGTTGGTATGTTTGGAATTATCAGTAACTGAAGTTTTCTGTTTAAATAGGAGTGAGTATGTTAGATGGTGTTGAACAAAAATAGTGCATAGAATTATTAGAAAATTTAATCTTTCTTCATATGATAAAGGTTAGATTGATGTATGGATTTTGAAAAATATATTCAAAATAGTTTCAAAAATAAATAATAATTAATTTGAAAGAAGCAGATGGCCAGAACAACACATGGAAACAAATGTAAACAAATCAATTTTAAAAAAATGAAATGTAAAATCAGATTGTAGAGAAATTAATCCTTCTTTTGACCGATTTTTTTTAATACTCATATTCATTAATCAGATCCTTTTCCTAACAGATGTCAATCAAAATATAACAAAATAATAGCTGTAGAAACTGAAACAAAGTGTTTGCAATAGCAGTTGGCTATGATGTACTCTGTATACATTTAAAAGATCAGCCAGCTGGCTATGATGGCCTCTGTATACATTTTAGATTAGATCGGAAGCAAATTGTGATGCATGAAAATGCAGTTTTTGTTGCTGTTCAATTTTGATGTGGTTAATTTAAATCAGTTGTATAAAATGAAATGCATAAATTAAAAGAAATTTGAAAAATAGATTTTTTTTTTTTTTTTTTTTTTTTTTTTTTTTTTTTTGAAAATTACTCTCTGTAAATGGAGAAAAAATAACTCTGTTAACTGGACTGGATTAACTGGATTCTTATTCATGCCTCTTGTTTTTGTTGAAGTTTTTAGAATTTAAGTACTTTAATTATATAAAAAATGCTTATCTACTAACATTTAGGTATAAATATATTTTTCTTACATGCTTTAATTTTGTATCATTTATGAAGCAGAAAAGACTGATAAATCTGATCTCTGTTTTTAATTTTCAGGTTTATGGTTCTGTTTATTATATTGGTCATGTGATTTATTTGGGCTGGCCTTTGGTTGGTCCAATTATCAAACTTTTCATTCCTAAGGCAAAAGTAGAAGAAAAAGCTAAGTCTCAGTAGTCAATTATTCGAAAACAGAGAGATGCCATTTTGCATATACAATTTTTAGAAGTTTGAAGAAAGTGTTCCACCTGTTGAGCGCTTAACCTCATCTTTGTTCTATATCAGGTATTTTTGCACAGGATTTATCACATCAGTTTTGTATTTCTTTTATTTAACTAATGGTTTTTCATTTACTTAAAACCATAATGAATTTGTTTTTCTGTGATATACATGTTAAGGTGCAAAATTTTCTTATTGCTGAAAATTTATGGCATCCAATTTCAATTTATGAAAATTTAAAATTTAAATTATTTGAGACTTTCTGTAACTGAATGTTAAGTCAATCTTTACTGAAATGCATCTGAGAAAATTTGGTGTGATTAAAGTTTGTATACAAGTTGTATTCAAAAAACTGAGTTGAAATTGTCAAAGATATTTTTCAGTGACTTGGATTATGAATTTTTATAAATAAGTATAGCATAATTTTGTATGTTTTGTGATGCTTGAATGTTATATTAAGCAATGTAGAAAGACCTTTTTAAAATACAATATTGTCTAAAGTTTTATAATTTTTTCTGAAGCTGATTACTATAAAATTCTGTATTATTGCATTATGTTACAAGTTTCTTCAGATTTAATATTTTTGGTGTATTTGGTTTTGGTGTTCATTTCTAGATTTTTAAAATTATGATGATGATTTAAAAAGGAACTACATCTGTATACAAAACAACACATAACTTATTCATAGTTTTTTTTATAAACTTAATTATAATAACTTGTAACACATTTTTACATAGGGTATATCTCAGAAGAGGTATTTGACATAAAACTTGTATTTAAAAATTATTGCAAATATCAATGGAATACCGATAATTTTATATGCTATTATCATTTTCCTAAAATTTAGTAGAATTTTCAGTTTTTACGAGATACTTATTATCTGGAAAAGTGATCTGAAGCATGACATTCAAAAATTGGTATTGGAAATTTTAAATTGCTGCGCATTTGTGTCTTGAAGTATAGCTTTAGCATAGTATCATAAAACTCTAACATCTTCTAAAGATCTAGAATGAACACTTCTTGATCTGTTATTGTTCTGTGGTGGGATATTTTTAGCAAATTCTTTTCCCTTTTATTTGGTATCTGTGATTCATGTTAATTGTTCATTTTGGCTGTTACTTTAATGAGAAAAATTATATGCATTATAATAATAAATGCAATATTTCTCATTAAAGTAACAGTAAAATTACATGCATTATAATAATGCATGCAGTATTTCTCTTTAAAGTGACAGCAAGGTTTTGCTCAATAAGAGTTCAGTATTGTGCAATTTACATTTCACATATGTAATAGGTATAAATTAACTCTCAAAATCATAATGCACAAAATTTAATTCCAGTATTCATTTCATTACAAGTGCTGTAATGTAATTAATAACTTATATTAATATATTATATAAACTCATAGCTATAGATTTAATACATCGAACAGATATTTATTCTTGTTATATAATTTATATTTATACATGTTTTTGTTACAGAAGATTTTAAATTTTGTTGCTGAAAATAATTTATGTGATGTTTATGAATTGCATATACTATGTAATAATACAAAGTGTTTTCAATAGTTTGATTAATATATTTTGTTCTTGCTTGTTATATAGCTTTTTATTGTGCACCTTGATCTCATAATATGTATTAATTTCTGCATGAATACCTTTCTACCTTCTTTGCATGCGTAATTGAAATTCTTTCTCTAAAAATCAATGATATTAAGAATCCTAAAAATATGAAATAAATTCCGTTTTTATTAAGTTATTACATTTGAGAAAAATCTAGATAACATAGCACTTTTTTGTGGTTTGTTATATTTGCAATTCCAGGGAACAAATATAGCAGAATATTAATTATTTAAAGAGTGTTTATGAGTCAAGCTCCTTTTCAAAGTTATTTTATTTGTTTATATTAAATCTTCTTCTGTGAGCATTTTCATAAGATCTTTTTATAGAATATTAAAATGAATCTATCTTGTACTAAAGTTATGAAAAAAAAATTGTTAAATCTTAAGAACTTCTGGCATATTAAAGATCTGCTTTTGATTGTTACATTCCAAGATGCAATGTAAAATTTTGTGAAGACGTATAAGGTTGTATTTTAGCAGTCAAATGACATTTTTGGATTTGGGGTTATGTGTGTTTGCTTTTTATTGCTTAAATTCATGTTTATTCTTTGATGCATATTTAATGAAATACAGCCATAAATAGGAGGAAAGCACCTTTTTTAATATTAAAGTTGAAAAAATTTTCGATAATGACAATCAGTGTTCTTTTAAAGAGACAACAATTTCATTAAGCTATACTTTCAGGCTTAAAATAGCTATTGTAAATCAAATGTTTTTTTCAGAAGTTAAAAAGATCTGTTGTAGTAATTTAGACAAAATTTCATAAATTCAAACAATGGTATAAAATTCAGTATTGACTACAAACAGAATTTGAAGTTATTTCTGTAATTAATAATTCGTTTTATAGCCAGTCTGTGCACTGATCACATAACTACTGTAAAAATGTACTTCCATTTTGTCTTAAAATGTTGAAATTAAAAGGGCTCATACTGCAGTTACAAGAAGGTGTAGAAAATACAAAATCGTTTTGCAGACAACAGTTCAAAATCTTATCACATAGAATAGTAAACTATTATCAAAATATTTTCATGATTTACAATACAATATGCTTCTTACTGTATAATTCAGGAATACAATCCAGATTTAGTATGTATGTATAATTCTTCTGTCATATCATCATTGGTGATAAACCATTACTTTTAAGATAGTACTTTGATGATTCTCATAAAATTAAATTTCTTGTCTTTCATCAGAAATTAAGCACTTATTGAAGAATTAAAGTGGAAATATACTGCAGCCTTACTCTCTTTACTTAATTTCTTAGTACAAATTCAACATATATCAGTATTCACTGGAAATTTTTTTTAGGCTGTCCTTTTTTTTTTCTTTCAAAAATACTATTTACATATAATTTTCAGTTTTTTAAAATCATCATAGCAATTGTATCAGAATACATCAACCTTGTCACACAAAGATAAGTTTAAATTTCTTGATTGAAGGTGTTGAAACTTCGCAGTATTATGCAGATGACTTTGTGATTGCATACTAGACTTAATAATAATAATATCAAGATTCTATATGTTTTCTAGATTTGATAAATTTCAATTTTTATATTTCTACTTGTATGATTTCAGAATGAATCTGATTATTTGCTAATTCTTGTGCTAAAACATTTCATGTTTCTTATTGATGAAACTGGCTATTAGAAATAATTTTGTGGAGAATTATGTCTATTAAATGTAATCTAGTTACAGTACTGTTCTTGAAAGAGTATATGCAAAAGTTCTTAAAAATAAAAAAGATGAGTTTCTGTATATATTTTTTTAGGATAACATCTTATTCCTTTGTACTTTTCATAAAAAAAAAAAAAAAAAAAAAAAGTACCCTTGATGTTGAAAATTGTTTAGTAATTTTCTGTGTTTCAACAGTACTTAAATTATTATTCATTGCATAATGTCCTTTGAGCTCAACATTCATCCTTCTAACATTCCTTGTCTTTATCACATCATTTTTCAGAATAATGCATTCATGCATACACATATATATATATAGTGTCACAGAGTCTAAAATGTTTTACTAATGTTCTGATATTGGCAAAGAAAAGTATTGATTTCTCTCTGGAGTTTACTCTTAGTTATTTTGCATTTAAGAAAGAACTTAATATTTTGATTCTGTTTGATTAGTAAATTACTTGTGTGTAAATATTAGCTTGTTTTATCTATGCGATGTATAATGATACTTAATAATAAATGTAAGAGAAAATACTAATTAGAATTTTAAAATCTATCGAAGCACTCAATATTTTATTGGAATTAATTTTAGAGAAATGTTGTGTACATTTAAAATGAGTTTATTACCTGCAGCAGAATAATTTTGGTCTTTGAACGAGATCCATCTGTTCAGATTCATTGAGGTTGTCTAAAATTAATATTACTTCGAGGACAGTTTTTATTCATTATTGAATACATATGGAAACAGCCATTTATTAGTGTAATAATTTATTTATTTATTTTTATTATTATGCCTTCTCTAGATTATGCATATGGAATTTCCATTAATTTTCTGAAATTTATTACATTAGCAAACTATGATATTTTTTTAATGTTATGTAGCTGATTTTTTAAAAAAAATTAATAGCTTTTATAGTTATTGCATATCTGAAGTCTGAAATTATTGGATGCTTATTGGTGCTATAGTAGAGTAGTAATTAAAGTAAAATGTTTATAATGAAGCCTTGAATTATGTTCAATAATTATGTTGTTTAATGTAATTATTTAAAAAGTATAATATAAAAAACATGTAAATAAGTTTTGAGTTTAATTTTTTTTTTGAGATTTGCACCTGATATGGGGCATGTAATATATGATTTATTTTTTGAAATTTTTTTTGTGTTTAAGAAAATTTTGTATGGGAGCTCTTTTTTAGTATTTGAATGTATTCAACACATGGTGAAGCATCTAGAACACTGGATTATTTTTCAGTATATTTAATTGTTGCTCCTTAAGATAATTCCTTATTATTTTGTATGATGAAGGTCATATGTTTTTAAATTCAAAAGCTTCACTTGATCATAACGGTTTTTGCAATTTTTCTGAGTTTGGTAACTTTTGAGTCCTTTATGGTGTAAAGTATAAATTGATGACTATATATTAACTTCAGTATGGGTACAAAAACAAATTCCATATCCCATATTCCTATTTTTAGAAATTTTGTTGTTGAATGTAGGGCCAATAAGCAGACATTTATAATGCAGTCCATTTTATTTAGAATATTTTGTGAAACCTGTCCATAACACTTTGTATGATAAAATTTCTAGTCTGTTAAATAATATTTATCTTTTTTAATTATCTATAGAATAGGTATTAGTACTATTTATAGAATATTCCATTGTGTAGGTTTATAGTATTGTTGATAAAACAATATTGCAATAAGGCTGCTTTAATTCATACAAAAAAAAAAAAAAAAAAAAAAAAAAAAACATATTCAATGCAAGTAATGCATTTCTCTCTCTCTCTCTCTCTCTCTTTTTTTTTTTTTTTTTTCTTCTCCTTCCTACCTAAGTTTTAAGTGAATAAAAATTAAAATGTTTACTACCTGTATTATGAAGTTCATAGCTGCAGCTTTTCTTGATCTGCATTAGCCATTATTTAAAAATATCTAGCAAAGTAATTCTTGTTTTAAAGAATTCGCTTCTAAAGTAAATTTATGCAACTAGTATTATTTGTCACAATTCACCTGAAGGTCATTACTTTGATTTGCTGGTAACAGATTTTGTTTACAAATGCTGCAGTGGAGAAATACTTGATAATCATGGTGCCAAAGGTTTGGTGAGCTTTGCCATATGCCTTTTTTGAGGTTTGAATGTATAGTAGTTTTTCACAGATTTGTCTTATAATTGGTGTTTGTTGAAAGTTTGTCATCAGAATGCAAGTAAATTTTCAATTTTTAATAGGTATTGCACTTGGATAAATATTTTATGGAATGAGAAAGTTTACTGCATTACAGCATTTGAAATATTTTGTATATAATTTGTAATAAAATATGTAATGTCCCATCCAAATAGAATTTACAATCAGTGTGTGTATGTATACACTTCAGGTACAATAAAATATATATTACAACTGAAACTAAAGTTTACTTTAGTCAGTTTTTTTCTTTCATACGTACATAAATGTATGTATTCGCTGAATCAAAATAACTCATTTGAATCTTTTAAATGGAATGATTCTTTTAATCATGGAAATGAAAAAAAAATTTTTTTTTAACACAGCAGTAAACAATAAATAATATATTATCGGAAGCAATGTTGTTGACGGTTATGTTTTAGATCAATCCAACCAGATGCAAGAAAACAACCTATCTTGATTTTTCCAAGAGGGACTCTGCTACCAGGCATCTTTTTCTGATTATAAGTTTGCTAGGTTTCAAACAAATACTATTAAAGGCAGTGATATTATGTCCCCCTTTCACTGAATGATTTCATTCGATAAAATACTGTAGAAGGAATTATCAATTTTAGTAATCACAAAGTATTTTATCATACCATAATATATTTATCATATTTTCCAGTCCATAAGATGCATTTTTTTTACTCCAGAATGTGTCCTAAAACCAGCCTGTGTCTTATGGGCCAAGGGTGTAACTTCATCATCTAAGAAGCAAGCAGATTTGCTTGGAAAAATGCTGTTAATTTTTTTTTCTATATCAGGTATAGAAAATGGTTTCCTTTATTACAAATGCTGACAAATAACATTATTTGGGACCAGTAGGAAGCAATAGAGTTTTAATATTTCCTTGACAGAGCTTCCTGAAAATATTCCTATATTTATATATGCGCAGTGTAGCATGCATGTATGTGAGTAAAGTGGTTTAATTTCATCTTGCATGTTGGACCATGGGCTAGGATGCTGAAAGTAGTTTAGAAAATAACTCATAATACATATATATAGGCAATGCAGAACTGATTTCAGATGCATCATTTTTATAAAATGAGTAAAATTATATAAAATTCTGGTTTAGTAATTTTCACCTTAAATGTACATAAATAAAAATAAATAGCACTACTTCTCACTCGAAATCATGCTGCACCAATAATAAAATGTATTACAAACCACAACAACCAATCATGAGGGAAGCAATTTCACTTTCAAAGCCATCTAACTTTTTCCAGTTTTCTGCACTATTATTCACTTTAACCCAACTTACATTAGAAAACTATAAAATCCATTCTTTATTATTGTGTTTTACAATGCAAGTAACGTGTTTGGCACTTCAAAATAAAAGGCCTTCTTCTGGTAAGCCAATTTCTACTATCTCAGAAAAAAGTGTCTTAGCGATGGGCTAACTGACATCATAATATCTCTTGCAATAAACTCCTAATCTACAGGCAGTCAAACTTAGTCATTAGACTAAGTAGTTTAATGTGCAGCGTTCTTTTTTCTGTAGTGTTCCTATCTGCTTTTATATGGAGAAACGGTATTTCATGAAAAGTTAAATAGAGAACCTGTATGGGATCTAGAGAGAGAAGATTGTCATGCAGTATTTCATTTAAACTTGGAAGTCATCATGGAAATAGAGCAGCTGAAAGGTACTTTGGCCTGCCTCTGACTGAAAAGATAAGAGAATGGAGGAAGCAGAAGGGATTTAGTGAATGCAGATAGGAGTAAAAGAAATTTATGTTCATGTACACCTAAATGGCCAAAGCTTGAAGAACATGCATCTGTAGCATAGAGCGCCATTGGTTGCGTAGTGTCAAACGTAATCCATTGTAGCGGAAGAGTTAGAAGTTTCTGAAAATGTCATTTCAGACTATGGAATTGGTTTTCGGAAGCTGGAAATGTTCGCCGAAGATTGGGACAAGGTCGTAAGTTTTCAAGAACACAAAATGAGGAATGGAATTTAACACTAACGGCCAGAAGAAACCATTATACGAATGCAATTTTCTTGCAACACCATCTTCAGAGGGCTACTGGTATTAGAGTTTCGACTCAAACTGTTCGAAACCGATGCCACCATGTGGGTCTGTATGCTCGCACACCTATGGTTTGTGTTTTATTGATAGAAGACCACCATGTTGCCCGCAGGAGGATCTCAGATGGGGATGAAATGAGTGGAGCAACGTGCTGTTCACAGACAAATCCCGCATTAGGGTACAACCTGATACTCGTAACAGGCAGAATTTTCATCTGAAGAGAATCTGGTACACTGAATAAGCTTGCATTTGTGCATGAAAAAGTTGGTGTAAGCAGAATGATAGATGGTCTGGGCTGATATTTCTATCAATGGCCTGCATATTATTAGGAACAGAGCATAAATGAAAATTTTGGCATAGATGGAATGATTGATGGTCTGGGGGCAGGTATTTCTATCAGTGCCCTGCATATTATCAGGAACGGAGCATGAATGAAAATCTTGGTGTAGGCCGAATGATGACTGGTTTGGGCCATTATTTTTATCAATGGCCTGCATATTATCAGGAATGGAGCACAAACGATGTAACGGTATATAGATGAGATCCTCAAACCTGTTCTGGTCCTTTATGCTGCATTAATCGATGACCAATTCGTTCTCATGCATGGTAACGCCAGGCCACATTGTGATCAGCTAGTGGACATTTTTTTTTTCAACAAAGGAATCCTCTGAATGGATTGCCAGCATGTTCCCAGATATGAACTCGATAGAATATGTTTGGAACATTCTGGGAGAAGGGTTGCTAGTCCCTTATGGCTCCTCAGAAACAATTCAGTAGTGTGAAAGTTCTCAAGTCCTTATTGATAACCTAATTGATTTTATGCCTCTTAGGTGTGCGACATTGCTTTCGGTCAGGGTCCATTGCTTCCGGCCATACACTATATTGAAACTAATCCGATTACATTTTTTGTTTATTTGTATAATATGCACAAATTGTACATTTTTTGTTTACCGACAAATATCGTTAATAAAATTTATACTGTGTTTCTCATTCATTGCTTCTTTTTCTCTTCTCATATCTTAACAGTACCTATACAGTACAAAGTCCGTAATCCGGGCGTCCATTCTCCGGAATAATCTATAATCCAGACTTCAAAAGCGTCAAACATTTTTTTTTGTATGCTTTACGCATGCACGTAATCCATTGCACACAGCTAATATAGTAGTCAGTTACATTTATTCAATTTCAATACAAATTACCGAGATATCAGTTTACTCAAAAGTTTAATGCACGTGCCCTATATTGTTTGTTAAATTTCTTGATTATGTCCATGTTAAATTTCTTGAGCAATGGCAAGACTATTCAAGACTTTTTGAAATTTTTTAGCATAAAATCTGCTGTGTGGAACATTGCAAGGTCGTGGGAGGATGTGTCTCCAGATACGTTAAAAAATGCTTGGCATATTTTATGGCCAGCTACCATATTTCATGGTGAGGACGATGAAGATGATAGCTGCGAATTTGAAGGTTTTCGGACATCACAAACTAAAGGTGAAATTTTCCAGTTATTGGATTTTGCAAAGAAATGTAGAGAAGCAGTAATAAATGAAGATGATATAGCAGGAGTTTTCATTGTGATGACAATGCCCCAATCATCAATCAATTAACGGGCGGCGAAATCTGTAGTATGGTTCTAGATCCAGAAAATACCGCTTCCGACAGTGAAGAAAGTGACAGAGAGATAGCTGAAAACGAAAAAATTCCGATTGACAAGTTAGTCAGTATTCTCAACACAGCAATTACTGGATTTGAACAGTGGAACTTTGTAAATGAACAAGAAAATATGTCTGTTTATAGAATTAAAGAGAAAGTATTAGCACAAAAAACAAAGCAGCTTAAACAACTTGCATTGAAAGAAATGTTTAATAAAGTAAAGAAATAAATATTAAGCTTTTTTTTTTGTAAATTTTGATACCATTTAGTACATAATTGCTATCAGCAAAACATTCCTCATCTTTAGTTTATCTCCAAAATCATAAATAATACATAAATAATATTCCCTAATTGTTCTGAGTAGTGTATTTGTTAATTTTTTAAGGCAACAGTTCGGTTTTCATTGTATAGTGTTGTTAAAATAGGAATTTTTACCTTTTCTGTCTGATCCAGGTATTTTTTGTGAATTTTAACCTGATAAATAACAGCGCGTCTTATAGGCCGAGAAATACGACAATATTAAAAAAGTATATAAAATTCCATATTGATTAAAAATATTATAAAAGTAACAATTTTATTCAAACATTCATTGTAATGACGATAGATTTAAACTTTCTAAATACACTGAACACAAGTTAAATAACACAATATTAAGATGTTAGAATAATTTTAAGCATACGAAAGAGTTAAGTGATTTAGAACAAGATACATAATTTTATTACTGGTTGTTTCAACAAATGATTTCAAGTTCAAAAGGACTATGTTTTTCTTGCTGTTTGCTCCAGGGAAATCCTCTACGATATGACCAAGGGACTTATGAGCAAATGATCTTTTATTAAAACGACAGGATTAATTTTAACATTTTTCTTTTAAAAATTGCACGTGCTTTTCTGTTGCAAGTTATTTAAGTAATCATTACTCCATTTTTCCAAAAATCCAGAACAATTTTGATAATTCTTTGCTATTGACTAGCAGGGACCAAGAGTTAGGGCTTCATCACAATAATCTGCTGGTAGGAGACTAATGGGTCTAGAATTTAGTATGCCTTCTATCTGAAGAATCTGTGCACAAAATGTTTCGTGCCCAAGTTCCTTCTTCCACTACTTCTTGAAGCTTTGGCTTCCCTTTGATGCCCTACGCTCCGACTGAAATACAAAATTATTTATATATTAAATCGCCAGGATGCACTCGCTCCATTTCAGGGGAACGTCAGTCCCAAAATTCCTTACACTAATAAAACTGTAGATCCTTTATTTAATGACAAAGTTACTCAGGAAATTGTATCTCCAGGATTTTCCATTACGGTGATTCAAAAGATCAGCTAAGAGATGAATATTGCCAAGTTTCATCTTCTTGAGCATAATGTTTCTAGCGCTATCGTATGTTCTGCAATGAATAATTGTATGATCTGTACCATCTCATAAGATTGTATGATCTGTACCAACATAAGTCGGCAATATACAGAATGGCGAATTCTCTATGCAGTTTAACCTGTACAGTAATT